ATGAAAGTAGGTCCCTGGCTCTTTGAGATACACAACGGTAGATAGGTATAAGCCAAAGTGGATCCACGTGTCTTATCACCGACAGTATATGTATCATCCATTAAAGATGGATGGTGACCCCTTCTGGACGCTTCAAACAACCGTCAGATGGTTATTATTGGGGGATACCTTCGTGTTGGATACTCGGCTGTCGCTACACATCTTTTAATGATGACAATGACTGCATCATACCAAGCAATCATTCCCTCTGAGTTACGACAGCTACGGCCATTATGGCCATATCGGTCTGTTGATACACTGCAACAGATGCATCTTTGCTCTCTAAAGAGTGGAGGAGGGCGGGGGCAAGGGGATGGGTAGCGCCAACACCATGAACTTGAGGGTCCAAGTGGGTGCTCAGGGAATAATAGAAGACGGCTAATACGGTATCCCCAGCAAGAGGAGCTCAGGCAGCCACGAGTCAAGCTTTATTTATTCTGGGAGTTGTCTCCAGTATTGGTGACGAATTACTCTCCCACACTGGAACTATCCCAGTGGGACTGCAGCAATCTTTAGATGAAGGTGGTTGTGTTAGGTCGTGTAATGCATGTCCTCTTGCAGAACAAGAGGACTTGGGGTAGAAACAGAGGGGCAGATGAGTCACAAGACCCTAACAAGAAACATTTTAAACATAAGAATAGTGATCAAATGGAACATATTAAACATTGATGTAGTAAAAGCTAATAGTTTCAATTTTAAATATAAGAAAATTAAGGATCGGGAGTCACTTCACTAGACAATCTACTGCTGAAAAGTCGAGGGCTGAGGAGCTAGCGTTCGTCCCTATAAACACATGCAAGTAGGTACATAAACGCCGGCGTGAAACATCCCAGCTTCCAAAAGTCTAAAGTCAGACATATATGTGTGATATCCCAGACAAGTTTGCCCAGATATAAGATAGATCTACTCCGGCCTGGAGGCCTGGTCGACGACCGGGCCGCGGGGACGCTAAGCCCCGGAAGCACCTCAAGGTAACCATTGTAATATTCCAACCCGTATATCTGAGGCTGATATATCAATGTTTAATCTGTAAACATGGAATAATGTTAATGCGCGTGTGTGTAAACATCAGAGGAATGTTTGTTTGGGGGATTGAGGCCGACATTGATTGGTTGTTGTCCTCCCGTGACGTCACAACGGAAATTGAGGAAGGTAGAAGTAGTGTGTTTGTTTGGTTGTTGTATTGGCGATTGTTAATGGAGTGTTGGTTAACGCACGCACGCGCACACCCTCCCCCCCCCCACACACACACCCCTCCCTCCTTGTTCCACACACACACAGTTTTAAGCTAGCAACAACATTCTCTAGAGTGATGGAGCATCGTAACCGAAGCAATGATAACAGCATCAGAGCACCAGGAGCTTCCCCAACACAAGAGCACCTCTTCACCACCACCACACAAGACTTACTATGTACATGTCATCAATAGAGGCAGACGTCTGCTCACTGAGAACTTCACCGCTGAACCACACTCGCCTCCAGACTAGCCCAAAGCTTCTCACGGAAAATACATTGGTCTCCTGATGCCAGTGAGAGAGAGAGAGAGAGAGAGAGAGAGAGAGAGAGAGAGAGAGAGAGAGAGAGAGAGAGAGAGAGAGAGAGAGAGAGAGAGAGAGAGAGAGAGAGAGAGAGAGAGCTCTCTCACACGAGATCAACAGTGCCACGAGACAATCGGAAAAAGTGCATTTGAAAAATTATGTAAAGTGACATAACAAATTGAAAGGAAATATGCAAAGTTAAGACTTGTGCAGCACAGTGAGACCCGAGGAGAGGAGAAAATTTGGTGAACAAATGGAATGAACAGAATGTAAATAAGTTCACTGATTAAATAAAGATATCAAGTAACGGAAGAGAAGAAGAGAAGGTAAGCTCATCTATTCAGGGAAGAGGGCTGAGAGGAAAGGGCTGAGGAGGAGAAGAGTGAGGGGAAGAGGGCCGAGGGGGAGAGGGCTTAAAATTGACCAAATTAGTACTTTGGAACATAATTACTATTCCTTAACTCTTTAAAATACATTATCTTCAGAGACATGTTAAATTTATAGTCGTACCTAAGAGGCAATAATAAAAAGGTGAGATCAAGTGCCTGGAGAAAACTACTCATAAATTTGCTTATCACCACTGGACCAAAAAACCTCATTTACTTTGTTAGAGATTCCATCGGCATTAAAATACCAGCGCGAAACTTCCTGGTTACTGTGACCAGTAACCAGAGCGCTACCTGGTAGGTTATAGAAGGGAATGGTAGTATAGTGCAGCGGAGGAACTGGAAGGAGAACTAAGACAGCAGAAGAGACAGATGAAGTGGAAGAGAGGGACGAAGAAAAGTCTGAAGAAGAGGTGAAGAAATAAATCAGGAGAAAGATGAAGTTCAAACTCTGGAGAGAAAAGAAGAAAGAACAGGAAAGTGAAATAATAGCCGGTAGAAAAGATGGAAATGGAAAAGCAGGATGAAGTGGGAGAGAGAAAGAGGAGGAAAATGAGGAAGAGTAAAAAGTGGAAGAATGAGAGGTGGAGGAAGAGAGGACACGAGAATGATTCGACATCAACTTCATAATATTTTTCATGTGAGAAATAAAATCATTTTTTTCTAACCGTTTCTAACGAGAATAAAAACATTGAATTCATTCTCTTTTTCTGCTTAATCGTTTGAAGCACAAAAATAATATGTTTATAATATGCAGGAGAGTCGGGCTGAGGGGCACAGTTGCTGACATTTCCTTGACCCACTCACTCCACGCGGGCCACTCACTCTACGCGGCCCACTCACTCTACGCGGCCCACTCACTCTACGCGGCCCACTCACTCTACGCGGCCCACTCACTCTACGCGGCCCACTCACTCTACGCGGCCCACTCACTCTACGCGGCCCACTCACTCTACGCGGCCCACTCACTCTACGCGGCCCACTCACTCTACGCGGCCCACTCACTCCACGCGGCCCACTCACTCCACGCGGCCCACTCACTCTACGCGGCCCACTCACTCCACGCGGCCCACTCTCTTTCTACAGTGAGACAGATGAGAAGACTCAACAATATGTGTCGTAAATAAATATTTCAGAAACTTTATATATTACCTCAGCGACATTCTTTGTGGATAAATTTATACAGCAAATCTTGCGGTCAACAATCCTAGATCGGAAGGAGGCCACACTCGCGTCTGACCGGCTGTGTCCCTGTGTCTTGTGGTCACTATGGCATGTTGTGATCACTGGTCACTATGGCATGCTGTGATCACCGGTCACTATGGCATGTTATGATCACTGGTCACTATGGCATGTTGTGATCACTGGTCACTATGGCATGTTGTGATCACTGGTCACTATGGCATGCTGTGATCACCGGTCACTATGGCATGCTGTGATCACCGGTCATTATGGCATGTTATGATCACTGGTCACTATGGCATGTTATGATCACTGGTCACTATGGCATGTTTGATCACTGGTCACTATGGCATGTTGTGATCACTGGTCACTACGGTATGTTGTGACCATGGAGTACATAGGAGCTCCTCTAATGTATGGAACTATGTTAATATTATTGAATAATGTTACAAACCTGGCTTGGTGTGGGTACTGAATTAGACGACCTGTATACAGCGGTCTCTCTCTCTCTCTGAGTGCCACACACACACTGATGCCCTTGGGCGACCACCTCCTATGGGGCGACCACTTCCCCTGGGAAGACCACCTCCCCCCCCCCCCTCTGGGGCAGTCTTATGCCACAGAACAATTACTAATTTATAAACAAACGCACCAATTAACAAATCACACAACAATTGTTTAATTTCTCAGTTGAAAAACATTATTTCCTTTGCTTAAAAAGAATAACAAATGCCTTCTCACAAAGCGGCCATGTAGCAGTATTTCGACTAAGAAAGCTGTAGCAAACAAAACTATCAGTTGCAGTGACCCAGTTAGATCTAATTACCAGGATCATTATATAAAATAAAAAAAAAATGAAGATCATTATACAACACAATACAGTACCTTTAACAGCCTGGAAACAGCGATACAAAAGCCAGGCAAACAAAAAAATCCCCATTAAACGGCCAAACAAAAGCACAATGGCTGCCTCGATGAAAACAATACACTAGGAATTTTTCACGTTGTATTTTGAACTGTTATTTATTGTCTCTCATTCGTGTTCCAGCGACCACATTACAGGCGGAGCTCCACGACCATCATCCCTGGCCGGCTTCCAGAGGTCGCCAGTGGTGTAAGAGGCCGCCAGTGGTATAAGTGGCCACCACTGGTATAAGAGGCCATCACTGGTATAAGAGGCCACCACTGGTATAAGAGGCCACCACCACTGGTATAAGAGCCCACCACTGGTATAAGAGGCCACCACTGGTATAAGAGGCCACCACCACTGGTATAAGAGCCCACCACTGGTATAAGAGGCCACCACTGGTATAAGAGGCCACCACCACTGGTATAAGAGGCCACCACTGGTATAAGAGGCCACCACTGGTATAAGAGCCCACCACTGGTATAAGAGGCCACCACTGGTATAAGAGGCCACCACCACTGGTATAAGAGGCCACCACTGGTATAAGAGGCCACCACTGGTATAAGCCACTGTGGAAGTTACAACGCCACAACTAACGACCGAGAACCAGAATATATCTTCAGGTGATTAGGGAAATTAGGCTTTGTTTCTAAGAATAGGTCTCGAATATCTTTATATTAATTTACATGGAAATGTTCTTTTAAGGATATTACATTGCGGTGTTTGTCGTAAGACTAATATCTTACAATATTAATTAGTTAAATTTATGTATTGTTACTTAAAGGCAGGCATAGTTAATTAGTTAAAATCATGAATAATGATTAGATTATCTTCTAGTACCCTACCTGGTGCACTGCCTACTCAGGGTAGAAATAGCTTAAGCTACTATCTTTTTTGATGTATCTAATTGTCTCAATAAACGTACTTAAACTTGAAGCTCTCTCTCACCTCTTTCTGACAGCGGTGGAGGCTGTCTGTTGGACGATCACCTCTTCAAGACCTTCGCAATGACAAATCCTGGAAAAAAAGGATAAATTTTATTTAAATCGCCTGACACCCACAAGTGTGGTCACCGTGGACCAGCATCCCTGTATACGGCCGCCCTTATATGTACACACATACATATGCACCCTTATGTAGTAGATACACACGTACGGGGACGTGTGTGTATTTATATGTAGACATGTGTAGACACATTCACACACAAATGTAGACATATAAAAGTATTAAAATAAACATCATAATATATACACACACAGAAATCACAATAGCGTGATGCATCAAATGAACAAATCCACAAGGGCCGTGACGAGGTTCAACGTAGGTTCGAACCCTCGTCACGGCCCTTATGGATTTGTTCATCATAATATAAGTTTCCTAAATGTTCTAAAATCAACATTTCTCTGTGCATGAGAGAACTAGCTGGATATAAGTCGCAGACTTGCTAACGTACAAGGACTGGAGAACCAGACGAGGCACCAGCTGAACATGTGAACCTTGCAGTCCATAATCCCAACAGTACGGCGACCTCTGTTGACTCCCGTTCCGGGCGCCCTCGGAGACCCCTGTTGTCTCCCGTTCCGGGCACCCACGGAGACTCCTGTTGTCTCCCAATGTCCCCTCCACAGAGGCCTTCTGCTGATATGTTTATCTCCAGACCTTTGTATTCTAAGATGGTCCGTTCCTGGCCCTCTATTCTTACATGGTCCGTTAATGGTCCTTGTATTCCTACAGGCTCTTCCTGGTCCTTGTATTCTTAGCTCTTCCTCGTACATTGTATTCTAAGATAACCCTTAGAATAGAGAGAGAGAGAGAGAGAGAGAGAGAGAGAGAGAGAGAGAGAGAGAGAGAGAGAGAGAGAGAGAGAGAGCGAGAGATACTCTGGAGGAACAGTAGTGGTAATAACCCCTTTAAAAACATAGTATGAATAAGAGCCTGTGGTAGGGGAACCGGTATGGAGGGGGGGGGGGAGGATAGGAGGGTGAGGGAGCAGAGTGGAAGGGGGTTGGGGGAGGAGAGGATATTTGGAGGGGGAATGGGTGGTTATATTAAAGAGGTGGGTGGTGGGGGGCACCAGGGGCATGGTGGGGGAGGGAGAGGGAGTAGTGTTCAATACTGTTGCTGACATTATGTAGGAGAGGGAGAGGGAGGGAGGAAGTGAGAGAAGCAAAGAGGGAGGAAGGCAGAGTAGTGAGCCTGATGTCATATGGGTGTAGCGTGTTGAAGGGAAGGGTGTTGCAAGGCGTGTCAGTGTACCAGGGTAAGTCAGTGTAGCAAGGTACGTCGATGTAGAAAGGTTCGTCGATGTAGCAAGGTACGTCAGTGTTAAAGGCTTGAAGTGTGAACCATAGACGTCGTCTACCACAAGTTTAATAACGCCAGGATGACGAACAAGTCTCCATCTTGCATCATGACATTGATGACATGATAAAGGAAGGGGACTATCTGGAGAGTGTGCCAAGCCATTACGACTATATCGCACTGGGAAAGGGTCAGGATAAGGATTTGGGATGGGACGGGGGGGGAGGGGGGGAAGGAATGGTACCCAACCACTTGGACAGTAGGGGACTGAACGCCGACCTGCATGAAGGGAGACTGTCACTCTACCGTCCAATATCGTTGGGCCCATGATATAGGAACCGACGACTCCATATATTATTTACATGATATAGGACCCCAAACAACTTCATAAAAAGTCTATTTTACGTAATCAAGACCTAGGGAAGACAAAATTGAGTGTTTGAGAGAGCTCTTCAATTTTAGTGAAACTTCTTGATTTTTCAAATTAAGGTCTTGAACATCACCAAACTCTCCTTAAATTTACAGTCTCAATTTACAGAACTCGACAACCAGAGGTTCAAATTTGAACTTTCCAGACTTTCACACCGGGCCAGACCACCTGAAAAATCAAGTTCCTTATTGGTCTTCGTCATCAGTCATTAAGGATCTATTTTTAATGGTTTCATCCTTTCCCAGTTTTCCACAATCAATTATCTTCCACAAATCTGTGGGAGACTCGCCACTGTCCTCAAATATAAATCACCGTCGATCCATTTCAGGGATCTGCAAAATTTAACCTTAAAAGTTTTCTGCGGCGAGTTCTGTAATGTTTCTTCCTGTTTGTGTTGGTGACCTTTCTGTGCTAGTGTAGGCCTCGGTCGGAGGTGCTTTCTTTACACATGAAAATGTTCGGGTGTCGGTGTGTCGGGTGTCGGTGTGTCGGGCGCTCTAAGTTCATTGCTTTGATGTATTAAAATGCTTGATAATCGGGCAGTTGAATGACTTGCAAGCCGAGTCTTCACCAGCTTTAGTTACCTCCACTGTTTTCTCTCGCTGTAACTAATATTTTCCTTGTATGAACTTGCATTTCTCAACACGAACAAATATTACATTAGCCGTCAAGTAAATTAACAAATGAGAGTTAGTCCACGACGAGAAAACAACATAAATTTCTTCAGAGTTCTTAATATGAAACTAACAAATGAAAGTTGAGTATGTTGACATACTCGTTCATGCTTCAGTCAACATGTTAATTACGTCAACAAACTCATAACACGCTGAATGGTTGTAATTAAATACAAAGATTTCTTTGTAGTAATTATGTCGCAAGACCATTTTAAGCTACACAACCTTTTAAGTGAAGCTTGACTAATCGCCTACTTAAAAATAAGGCCAAAGGGTAAGATTCAAATAAAAGGAAACTCTTAAAGTGAACTTAAGACACACTCTAGGCAGTAGATGGTAAGAGTTGACATTATATAAGACGTGTACTCGTCCTCTGCTAAACCCTACTTACAGTTCTAGATAGAACATTACACTAAAATATATTTATACAGTGATTACCACAACTGTATAATGTAGAGGAGAGAGGGGAGGGAGGGAGAGAGAGGGGAGGGAGGGAGAGAGAGGGGAGGGAGGGAGAGAGAGGGGGGGGAGGGAGAGAGAGGGGAGGGAGGGAGAGAGAGAAGGGAGGGAGAGAGAGAAGGGAGGGAGAGAGATGAGCAAGATAGCAGCTGTCACAAGTCTACACCGAAATAAAAAGAAATAATTAGTGTAAGTGCCGCTGGCCATAACCCAGACCTCGCTTCTTTCATGCACATATTAAAAAATGTCTCGGCAACCACGCACTCAATCTAATCCAAATTCAGAACAGGAAACGAAATAAAAGAATAACAAGAGACAGGAGCCAAGGTTATCACCGGACCCGAGGATAGCTGACGAGGTCAGCTAGTCAGGACCACTTGCTGACTAGCTGACCTAGCAGAGAGCTGCTTTCCATTGACCCCATACAGAGCAAGTCATTAATCATATACAGAGCCATGCACTAATGTTTGAGCTCTAATAAATTCAGGTCTCTACTCTTGACTCCGCAGAGTCACCTGAACTCTGACCTCAGACTGAGCGAGATACTGACCCCTCACCTTACTGTGTTTTCACTTGTGTCGCACACTTTGATATGTGAAGGAAATCGTTAACATGCAATTTTCAGTTCAAGGTTAGATTCTCATTTGGAAGCTTGGAGACTGTCATGGTGTCTGCAATCCTCTTGCCAACTCTCAACCAGCTTCGAGAATCATTTCCGATCTTAGCCAACATTTAGGACCGCCAGAGAATGTGTATATGTTGACAGGATGAATAAAATGAAACAGAAAGTGTGTCATCCTATTGTTATCAAATCCAAGATAGCTCCTGGCATAGCTGTGACATCGTGAATGGGCGAGGACACTTGTGGAGTCACGGGACCCTGGACCATTAATGAGCGGTGACCTGAGAGGCAACACATCACCGATTACGTCTCGTGATTGGTCGAAACGCTTCACTCATTGTGTGTACACCATAAATGACGGTGATCTGCCTCAGGTTCTGCGGGGTCTTGAACAGCTAACTGAACTGAGCATCTGACAGGTAGTTTAAACCATGTTATATCAGCAGCAGCAGACTCTTGTTAAATAAAGGAGAGGGGCCTCGAGGTCCTAAACTGGAGAGCCTTGTTCATTGCAACACAGCTGACGTGAGATTGATAGGAAATCACGAGAAAATCTTGCATTAAGCTGTACTGTGGAAACAGAGGTCTGTGAAGCAAACACCCACAAGGCGGCGAACATCTTCACTGACCACACCTAAGGTGTGGACGGCAGGTAAGAGGTATTTGTGAGGCACACCAGACCAGGTCAAAGTAGTAATGGATCGCATGTTTTGAACTCTTGTTCCCAGGTCGGGTAATGGACTTGACTGACAGTCAAGAGTCTTAAGTGGTGGTTTTCGTCAGAGATGAATTTCGACATATTCAAGAGAGGGATCCTATATACTAATCTACTGATAAGTGGACCTTCCATCAAGGAATCAGAGATAGTAAAAACCTCGGTGGCCGCCCGTGGACTTAACGTGTGTAATCTCATGCTCCTTTTTCTTATATGTATCACTTACACATGTTAGTAAATATTTCCATGTGTGCTGTATAATTATTCCTTCGCGGTCTGTCGAAAGTTATGTTAACTGGAGATCTTTAAAGTAACGAATTAATAACCAGGAATAATTAATCAAGTGAGATTAAACAGCTGGTGCTTCCCCGGTAATATTTAATGGTTATCAAGCTCGGAGCAGCCAGGAGTGTGTGAACATCATGAGACAGCTCCCATAAATCTGAAAATGAAGAATTGGCGACATTTCGGACCGTCCTGGAGTAGATAATGGTCCATGACGGCCCGAAATGTCGCTAAATCTTAATTTTCAGATTTCTGGGTTGGATGTCTTACCTTCAGCCACGATATTGACTCGTCGTCTTCATTATATAGAGGTACTACCTACCTCTATATAATCTATTCCTCCCCCCTACCTCTAGGGGAAGGAAAACCCTGATTTTAAACCTCCACTGCCTTGCGGCCATACCCCTTTTTTGGGAAAGGCTTCAGGAGTCAACCTCGAGGAAAAATCCGGAGTTGGAGCCCCTAAGGCAGTTCGTTGTTGACGTCGACCTCGTTCTGGCAGCTCCTGCGACGGTGCTGGAACCCTGTGTA